CGAAGAAATCACGGCATTAACGGCGGAACATACCTCCCTGCAAAATGACCTCGCACGAACACAATCCCAAGCACCTGACACCCCGATTCAGCCCGCACCACAGACATCGCAACACGGAAGTGTGGGGCAACCCGCGAGCACCGCAAGTGATGGCGTCGTCCGCCATGACGGAGACGACGACCACGGCACGACGCACCCCGACGCGACGAATGCGGCCAGGAATCAACCTCGAGTCATGATTTCGGTGCCGGCCGGCGAATCAGCTTTACCGTCGCCGATGCCGCTGAAGCCGCAGTGTCCGCCATGCTTCGATCCCAGCCAACGGGGTGGTCCTACCGTTCAGGCGTGGTTGTTCACGATGAACGTGTTTTTCGACGCCAACTACGTCTCGGAGGATACGGCGAAAATCCGCTACGACGTGTCATTGCTGCGAGGACCCGCCATGGATTGGTTGAGCGTCATCGTCACGAAGCCGTTAGACTACGCGACTCTACCGACACGGGAAGGACAAACCGGACCCTGGGCGCCGTCGTATTTCGTGGAGGTGCCCCAGTATCGCACGTGGGACGCGTGGTGCGCACGTCTGCGCGCACCCGTTTCGAGCCAATTGCGGCTTCGATCACGGCGCGACAGAGGCTCCGCACTTGGCGCCAAGTCGGTTCCGTCCAAGACTACACGAGCAGGTTTCTGGCGCTATGCGAGCAAGTGGGTTATATGCACGAGAGCGAACGCATCGACCGCTACATCGGCGGCCTGAAGCAGGACATCGCTCAGGAAATCCAGCTTCGCGGCGTCACCGATTTTCAGGAGATTCTCGCTATGGCGGAGAAACTCGATTTCTTCCGCCGACCGAGACCGGGGTCCTACGGAAGCAGCAATTGGGGACATCGGCCTCGTGGGACGAACGAAGGCGCTACGATACGTGCCGTCGCCGCAAATGCCGCTGCCGCACCATTCAAAGGGCGCTGCTTTGTGTGCAATCGGCCGGGACACCGTAAGAGCGAATGCCCGGAAAATGCTAAGGGAAAGGGGGAAGCTCAGCAGCAGAAACAGACCAAGCAGCAGGGAAACGCTGGGAGTCAGTAGCAGACGGGCCCCCTACTGACAGGTCACGCCGCTCGCCCGACCCAACCGACCCTCACCGAGTGATTGTGCCGGTTCACGCAATCGACCACACTCGGCCGAATAAGGAGGGTACTACGGTAGACAGCCCTATACTACTTAGTGGAAAAATCGGGACGGACTTAGTTAAAATCTTCGTAGACGGAGAGGCCAGCCACAGCCTTATCAACACTGCCACAGCACGAAAACTGCGACTGCCACTGCACAGATGTTTACCTGAGATCAACGCAAGACTGGTCGACGGCAAGCCACTGGCGATACGGGAACGCGTGGACCGAGTTCGGATTTGATGCAGGGGTAACTTCACGTTTAGCTAGGAAATGCTCGCAACGACCCTCGACGGGACCGACATTTTACTCGGGCGTGATTGGCTGCGACGACAGAATCCGCGAATCGACTGGACGACGGGTGACTGCACTGTGCGAGTGAACGGTAAAAACCTCTCCTTACCTCGCTGGGGCTCACCTGAGTCTTCGTCGGTGCGTGCCAACGCGATCACGATGAAACGCGCCGTAGCGGCAGGAGCTGACGTGTACGCGGTTGACATTCGGGAAGCCAAGGCAGCAGACAAAGGGGGGGATTTACAAAAACTGCTAGCCGACGTACCGAGTGATCTGGCAGCACTGTTGAAGCAGTACAATGACATCTTCCCGGACGACCTACCGACGGGACTGCCACCTCAGCGACCGCACGACCACAGGATAGAACTAGAACCGGGGGCACATCCAACAGTACAGTGACAGTTCCGACTAACCCAACCCGAACTGGACGAACAGAGGAAGCAGCTAGATTACCTGCTCGAGAAGGAGTTCATTCGCCCTAGTTCGTCGCCCTTCGCAGCACCGATACTATTCACACCGAAAAATGACGGGGGTTTTCGCATGTGCATAGACTACAGAGCACTGAACCGGGTTACCATAAAATCCCGTTACCCCATTCCACGAGCCGACGAACTGATCGACCAACTGCGCACAGCCCGGGTTTTCTCGAAAATCGACCTTCGGGGAGGTTACCACCAGATTCGCGTCAACCCACCTGACTGCCCTAAGACAGCCTTCCGAACATGCTACGGATCCTTCGAATATACCGTCATGCCCTTCGGACTGACCAACGCCCCCGCCACCTTTCAAATGACCATGAACGAAGCCTTCTGCCCACTCTTAGATAAGTGCGTCATCGTGTATCTGGACGACATACTTATTTACAGCCCTGACAGAGCATCGCACTTGCAGGACATCGAAGCAGTTTTGAAGATACTGAGTGAGAACCGCTTACTGACAAAAGCGTCTAAGTGTGAGTTTTTACAGGACCGACTGGAGTTTTTGGGACACATTATTCAGCTGCAGGAGTGGAAATAGACCCGAAAAAGATTGCGACGATTCAAGCATGGCACGCGCCGACCAACTTGACCGAGTTGCAGAGTTTTCTGGGGTTCGTCAACTACGTACGCCAGTTCGTCCCTGACATGGCGAAGCTGACTGCCCCGCTGACTGACCTGCTGAAGAAGGGGGTTGAGTACACGTGGGGGGAGAAAGAGCAAGCTGCCTTCTCGGCCCTCAAAAATATTTTGTGCTCACCCCTCGTACTTCACATCGCAGATCCGCACCATCCGTTCGAACTCGTCACCGACGCTAGCGACATCGCTGTGGGAGCAGTACTGTTGCATGACTTCGGGAACAGCCTCCAGCCAATCGCGTATGAGTCCCGCAAGCTTCACCCGCCTGAACGCAACTACCCGATACACGACCGCGACACGTTGGCGATCGTGCACGCGTTCAAAGTGTGGCGATGTTACCCCACGGGAGCAGACGTGACAGTACGGACAGACCAACGATCTCTACAGTATCTTCGCGCCCAACCGAATCTCAACCCACGACAGATCCGCTGGTTGGACTATCTGGAGTCCAACTTCCACTACACGGTCACATACAAAAAAGGCGCATCCAACATAGTCGACGCACTCACATGCCCCACCGCCCAACTCCACGCCATCCTACTCGCCCAAACCAACCCACTGTTAACAGGCCTATTCACCCACGAATACAGTACCGACCCATTTTTCACGACCGGAAATTTACAGCAACTGGCACAGGCCAGAGGAGTCTATTACGTGAAAACAGGCACCAACCGCATCTGGGTACCCGTGTACTCACTACTGAGGGAACTGTTACTGCAGGAGGCACACGACGGGATTACCTCGGGACATTTCGGGGTAGAAAAAACGCGACAGCAACTGCAGCGGTATTACTATTGGCCGGAGCTGTTGACCGACGTACAGCACCACGTGGGCTCGTAACCTACGTGTCAAATGATGAAGAGCTCGCGAAAAAAAAAAAAAAGGCGGGTCAGTTGCAGCCGATTCCACCGCCTGAGCGCGCATGGCAGTAGGTTACCATGGATTTCGTCACAGGGTTACCTTCGAACCCTGGGGGTAACGATGCAGTTATGGTCGTCGTTGTGAAGAAATGAGGAATGAATGAACTAGCAAGCAGGTGGGTACAAGTAGGAAAACCTAAAAGTGTTGTACCCCATATTGTCTACCCCACTACAGCCTACACAGACTATAGCATATGAGTTTGACACACCCCCATAGGCAAAGTGGGGGAGAACAAGAGGTCACAAGACCAGTCAAGCAAAGCAAAGCAAGCTCAGGGTGGATCACAACGTCACCACACATTCCGAGCACAAGTTCAAGGCCACAAGGCCAGTTCACATGCAAGATCATATATAAAGGTAAACAAGCAAGTGCAGGTATAGAAAGATCACAGTACAAGCAAGGTCAAGAAGTGAGCAAGTGAGGCCAAGTAGGCACAAGACCTAGCATCGTACAGAAGCGCTGATGATCACAAGGCGGAAGTGCCTTGGTAAAGATATCAGCAGTGTTGGCCTCAGAGGCCACGTAAGCAAGGCGCAGCTGACCACGCTGCTGCAGCTCACGAGCAAGGAAGTAGCGAAGAGCAATGTGCTTCGTTCTGTGCTCCAGTCTATGCTCCCGACACAAGGCCAGCATGGCCTTGTTGTCTACGTACAGAACTGGAGGAGAACGAGGCGGCTCTCCTAGGTCAGTCAGCAGGTAGGTGAGCCAGCGTAGCTCCTGTGCAGCCATGGCCCCCGCGTAGATCTCAGCCTCACAGCTGGAGCCGAGAACAGAAGACGAGCAGGTAGACCGCCACGAAACAGAGCCGGAACCAAGGCTGAAGGTGTAACCCTGCGACGACCGCTGCGTAGCCTGGTCGTCAGCCCAAGAAGCGTCTGCGTGACCTGTGAGGACCACTGAACGTCGCCCTCCAAGCACTAGCCCCATGCCCGACGTACTGCACAAGTAGCGCAACACCCTCTTCGCTGCAGCCATGTGCTCTGGTCGGTGTCTCCCAGGAGCAACATAGCGTGCCAAGATGCTAAGAGGGTATGCAAGGTCAGGTCGTGTGCAGGTCATCAGGTACATGAGGCAGCCAACAAGCTCTGGGTACGGGCCACTCGGCTCTACGGACTCATCCGAAGGCAGAGCTGAGAGCGAGTGGCGAGTAGACAGAGGAGTGGCCTGAGGCGAGGAGTACGTGAAGTCGAAGCGCTGAAGGACCTGCTGCACCATGTGTGACTGAGTCAGGGTAATGGTGCGCTGTGCTCTGTCCCGGGTGATCTGCAAGCCAAGGTAGCTGCGCAGTTCACCCAGGTCTGTGCACGTGTGTCTCTTCTGCAGCTCGGACTTCACGTGGGCGAGTCCAGCAGTGTCAGCAGTGGCAAAGACCAAGTTGTCGACGTACACGAGGATGTAGAACGGCGGCAAAGAGGTGTCGGTGCGCAGAAACAGCGACGGGTCGGCAGTAGAAGGAGCAAACCCAAGAGCCGCAAGTGTATTCCTCAGTGTGTCGTGCCACTCACGGGGCGCCTGGCGGAGACCGTAGACTGGCCGCCGGAGGCTCCACTGGGTACCAGGGGGAAAGGGCACAGAGCATGGGGCACAGAGCATAGGGCACAGAGCATGGGGCACAGAGCATGGGGCACAGAGCATGGGGCACAGAGCATGGGGCACAGAGCATGGGGCACAGAGCATGGGGCACAGAGCATGGGGCACAGAGCATGGGGCACAGAGCATGGGGCACAGAGCATGGGGCACAGAGCATGGGGCACAGAGCATGGGGCACAGAGCATGGGGCACAGAGCATGGGGCACAGAGCATGGGGCACAGAGCATGGGGCACAGAGCATGGGGCACAGAGCATGGGGCACAGAGCATGGGGCACAGAGCATGGGGCACAGAGCATGGGGCACAGAGCATGGGGCACAGAGCATGGGGCACAGAGCATGGGGCACAGAGCATGGGGCACAGAGCATGGGGCACAGAGCATGGGGCACAGAGCATGGGGCACAGAGCATGGGGCACAGAGCATGGGGCACAGAGCATGGGGCACAGAGCATGGGGCACAGAGCATGGGGCACAGAGCATGGGGCACAGAGCATGGGGCACAGAGCATGGGGCACAGAGCATGGGGCACAGAGCATGGGGCACAGAGCATGGGGCACAGAGCATGGGGCACAGAGCATGGGGCACAGAGCATGGGGCACAGAGCATGGGGCACAGAGCATGGGGCACAGAGCATGGGGCGCAGAGCATAGGGCGCAGAGCATGGGGCGCAGAGCATGGGGCGCAGAGCATGGGGCACAGAGCATGGGGCACAGAGCATGGGGCACAGAGCATGGGGCACAGAGCATAGGGCGCAGAGCATGGGGCGCAGAGAATAGGGCGCAGAGCGCAGGGCTCATAGAGCAGAGCGCAGGGGGCAGAACGCAGGGGGCGGAGGGGGCAGAGCGCAGGGGGCGGAGGGGGCAGACCGCAGCGGGCGGAGGGGGCAGAGCGCAGCGGGCGGAGGGGGCAGAGCGCAGAGTGCAGGGGCGCGGAGCACGTGTACCTGTCCTGGCGTGGTGGTGCCTCGTTCTAGCGCCCTCTCCACGCTGCTATTCGACCAGAATAGTGCACGCGCTGGACGTTTGCGAGTTGACGCGCTGCTAAACGACCAGTGGCGCGAGCTGCGCGTAAACCGGTGAGGGGGATGGTCGTCTCTGTATTTCGCGCGCTGCTACCCGCCCGTGGCCGCCCGGTGGCTGACAGAGTAGAATTGCGTAACCCTAAGGGTATGCGTATTGTGGACGCCCCCAGCATGGCATTGCCCTAAGTAATAGGCACTTTCGAGCCCAATATACGTTTGCAATGCCCCGAAATCGTCGACCTACGTGCTGCCAGAGGCAATCGATGTAACACCTCGCTACCCACTGGGTCAAAACGAGGGTGTTATTTGGCGCAGCGGAGTGCCCTTAACACAGCCCACAGGCGTTACACTCGTCCCCCCCTGGTGCCAACGTCCCCGTTGGCCCTGGACTTCAGGAAGTCGGCCCCCTGCCGCTGGGACCTAGATTTCGCAGTGCTGCTGGCTGCGACTTCGCTGGTTGCTCAGGCCAGCGGAGGATCGTTCGCTGGGTTCGAGCTGGTTACAACCGCACTTCAGTTCTCGCCAAAGGCGGAAAGTGTGGTCCAGCCGGGATTCGAACCCTAGGCTCTGATACCAATGTAATGCCCAGGGCTTTTATAATGGCGGTTATAAGGCTTTTATAATATTCCAATACAAAATAGTAGCTTTAACTAGCATTAATAGCCTTGGAGATGAAGATCTTCTTGATGCCTTTGATGAAAAGCACTTGGAGTAGTAGTGTAGGGAGACTTGTGAGAGAGCCCAAAAGGACTTAGAGAAACAATCCCATTTCCAATTGTTTTGTTGGAGTGGGAGGTTGAGAATGAGCTTGCTTAGCTCAGACCCCCTCAATACACCCCTTGGGGAACTATCCCAACTATGGTTTCCATGGTGGGATGGTTCCTAGGCTTGGAGCCTATGTGGCAATTGTGTTGGGTTGGAAAACCCAACTTAGAACCATTCAATGGTTGTGTTTAGGATAGAGTAGATTGTAACAATTGTTTGGCAGTTTCTGATTGGTTGGAATTCCAACCTTTGTGATTTCACTTTGATGGGTTGGAGTTTCCCAATCCTCTTGGTTGAGGTTTGGAAAACCAAACCAACCCTTCCATCCCAACCAAAGCCAACCTTCTTCTCCAAGTCCCTCTTTGTCGAGAAAACTCTCGACATTTGCTTAGAGGGAAGTTGGTTAGTTAGCTTAGTTAGGGCAATGCGTTACAATCGATGTGCCAGAGGCAATCGATGTGCCAGAGGCCATATCGCGCTGTGTCGCGCTCTTCTCAACGCTCCTTCCTGCAACTCAGCATGTACGTTTTCTGGCATGTCATATTCGTTTGCACGTTTCCTTGTTAGCTCCTGCGGCTATTTCACACGAAGTAGTTAGCTTGATTGATCGTGGTGTTCTTTCTTCTCACTCGTGTTGGTGCTTCCCGTTTTCGTTTTTGCTAGTAGTCGCACTGTGCGTGGACCTTCTCCACTACTTGAACCAGATTGGCTGAAGAACAATCCTTGCGACACTCCTTCCAGTCGCTCCACAGTGCTTGCAAATCCGTCAAAGCTGCACAGTATCGTTCACCATCGCTTCACGTTTGGCGAGACCCCTTTCCCCCTCGTCAATCGATATTTTTCTCGCTACACTGACTTTGCCGAAATTCTTGTTTTCAAGGTTTCGCCAACACTATTTCAAACCCACATAACTTGATAAATTACCATGCTGACCCCGGGCTTTAAGCAGGGGAAGAAGAACTGCAGAGAAGGGTCGGGAAAAGAAACGAGTCAGTAGCAGATGGGTGCCCTACTGACGAGACCCTGTCGCCCGACAATCACCATCCACACCGGGTCGTGGTACCGATCAGAGCTATCAACCGCAACCGGACGAATAACGTGGGTGAACACGTGGACTACCCTGTGCTGGTGGTGGGGAGGGTTAACGGTTATAAAATAAAAATATTCGTCGACGGTGGGGCGAGTCACAGCCTCGTCAACCTGGCAACGGCAAAAAAAAATAGGGGTGGAGCTGAACAGATGTCTACCGGAGATTGATGCAAGGCTGGTGGATGGGACGCCACTGGCCATCCGAGATGAAGCGCAAAAAAATCGGATCAAGTGTGGCGACAATTTCGGGTTCGGCATGAAGATGATGGCGACGACTTTGGTCGGCTGCGATGTGCTGCTGGGGCGAGATTGGTTGCAAAAGTTTAATCCGACGATCGACTGGACGACGGGAGCGTGTGCTGTGCGAGGAAAGGGAGGGCTGACGACGCTTCCGAAGTGGACGGACACGGAGCCGGTGACGACACGTGTCAACGCCATCAACATGGCGCGAGCGATCAACAGTGGAGCTTAAGCCTATGCGGTGCACCTGTACGAGATTGCGGCTTCCGAAAAAATCGCGGACATCGACACGCTCTGCGCGGCGGTCCATGAGGAGTTGGCGAGCATTATTCGGAAGTACCCCGCAATTTTCGCGGACGACCTCCCGGATGGCCTACCCCCTCAGCGTCCAGAAGACCATCGGATCCAGCTGGAACCCAGCGCGCAACCTACTGTGCAGACGCAGTGGCGGCTCAGCCAACCAGAGCTTGACGAGCTGCGAAGCCAGCTGGATTACCTGCTAGCCAAGGGATTCATACGGCCAAGCACGTCGCCGTTTGCAGCGCCGATACTGTTCACACCGAAGAAGGACAGGGGCCTACGCATGTGCATCGATTATCGAGCGCTGAATCGGGTCGCGCTAAAATCGCGTTACCCGATCCCGCAAACTGACGATCTGCTGGATCAACTTCGTGGAGCTCGTTATTTTTCGAAGATCGACTTGCGAGGCGGCTACCACCAAATTCACGTGTTCGCCGACGACTGCCCGAAAACGGCTTTTCGCACACGCTACGGCAGTTATGAAGAATGCCGTTCGGACTGACCAACGCGCCCTCGACATTCCAAATGACCATGAACGGGATCTTCCGGGACATCCTGGACAAAAAAGTCATCGTGTATCTCAACGACATCATGGTGTACAGCAAAACGAAAGAAGAGCATTTACGGGATTTGGAGGAGGTGTTCCGGCGTCTACAGGAACATAGGCTGATTACGAAGGGGTCTAAGTGCGAGTTCCTAAAGCCGGAGTTGGAGTTTTTAGGGCACGTGGTTTCCCGCGACGGCATCAAAATTGACCCTCGTAAGGTGGACGCCATCGTTAAATGGAAGCCGTCGACTAATATCCCTAAATTGCATAGTTTTTTGGGATTTGTTAACTACGTTCGCCGTTTTGTACATAATATGGCAGGGATAACTAAGCCGCTGACCGACTTGCTGCACAAGGACACTCATTTTCGGTGGGGGGAGAGAGAGCAGTCCGCCTTCGACGCACTCAAAAACATTTTGAGTTCACCCCCGGTACTCCGCCTCGCCGACCCATCTCGACCGTTCGAGGTCATCACGGACGCCAGCGATTTTGCCGTCGGCGCCGTCCTGCTACAGGACTTCAGCAAAGGGCTGCAACCCATCGCCTACGAATCACGCAAGATGCAGCCACCCGAGCGCAACTACCCGGTCCACGACAAAGAAATGCTAGCCGCTGTCCACGCTTTTCGTGTCTGGCGCTGCTACCTCACGGGAGCCGACGTGACAATCCGAACCGACCACAAATCGCTACAGTACATGCGCACGCAACCAACACTCAACTCCCGACAAATCCGGTGTTTGGACTACCTCGAGGCCAATTTTCGGCACACCATCACGTACAAGAAAGGCGCCAACAACATTGCTGACGCCCTCACCCAACCATCCATGCAGATGTCAAAATGTTATATTTGTCTAGCCTGCAGTGGGGTACTCTATAGCGAGTACAGCCCAGATTAGGGTTTCCTATATGTACTCAACTGCCTGCTAGTGCAAACCCTCCTTTTCTGTTCTAAACTTCTCTTGTTATTCTAACATGCTATCAGAGTAGGTCGACCCTCCCTGGTCGATCCTGTGGGTGGGCCCACCACCTGCTTCCACTGCTGTCCTGTCTGTCGCGCGCCAGGGGCGCGCGACGTTTATTCTTGCCGCCACGCGCTCGGGGCGCATGGCGGTTTTCTGCCCGCCGCACGCTCGGAGCGCGCGGCGGTTTTCTGCCCGCTGTGCGCCCCGAGGCGCGCGGCGGTTTCCTACCCCGTCGACCCGCGCACCGCCCCCCCTCCCGTCGCCTCGTCGCGGTGCCCTGGGGGCCTGCGCGCTGTCCCCTCCCGTCGCCTCGTCGCGGCGCCTTGGGGGCCCGCGCGCCGCCCCCCCTCCCGTCGCCTCGTCGCGGCACCTTGGGGGCCCGCGCGTCACCCCCTCCCATCGCCTCGCCGCGGCACCTTGGGGGCCCGCGCGCCGCCCCCTCCTGTCGCCTCGTCGCGGCGCCTTGGGGGCCCGCGCGTCCCCCTCTCCCGTCGCCTCGTCGCGGCGCCCTGGGGACCCGCGCGTCGCCCCTTCCCGTCGCCCGTCGAGGCGCCCTCGGGGGCCTGCGCGCGGCCCCCCTCCCGTCGCCCGTCGTGGCGCCCTTGGGGGCCCGCACGCTGCCCCTTCTGCAGCTCGCGAACCGCCCCTGCAGCCCGCAAACCGCCCCTGCAGCCCACGCGAGCCGCCCCTGCAGCCCGCGAGCCGCCCCTGCCGCCTCCTGCCCTTGTGCAACTGCGAGGTGGCGGGTATGGGGGTGGCGGGTGTGTGCGTCGCCACTTGCACCTCCTCCTCCTTCGTCTCCCACTGCTGCAGCTGCCGCTGAGGGGGGTGGATGT